ACTACCTCGTGCCCCGGGTAACAAGCGATTTTTGATTGTCGTGACAGATTATTTTACAAAATGGGTAGAAGCGGAGGCACTAACCCACATCCGAGATATCGACGTGAAGTGTTTTGTTTGGAGAAACATCATAACACGGTTGGAGGCATTTACGCATATCCGAGATACCGAAGTGAAGCATTTTGTTTGGAGAAATATCATAACACGATTCATCATTCCGAGAGCACTTATCTCAGACAACGGCACCTAGTTCGATTGTGGCGTCTACCGAGAACTGTGCAGTAAGTATGGTATACAGCCTTACTTTTCCACGCTGACTTATCCACAAAGCAATGGTCAGACTGAAGCCTCTAACAAATCCATCTTGGACGGCATCAAAAAGAGGCTGGAGAAAGTTAAAGGCAAATGGGAAAAAGAATTGCCGAGTGTGTTGTGGGCTCATCGAACTATGCCGAGGCGGTCTACTGGGGAAACGCCGTTTGCAATATGCTTTGGAACCCAGGCAATCATACCCCTGGAGATCGGCCTCCCAACCTTGAAGTCGACAGTATTTTATATGGGCCAAAACAACATGATGCTGGCCTTGGATTTGGTTCTGATCGAAGAACGAAGAGACCGTGCCCTCACATCCATGGCGCGGTATCAACAGCAGCTTGCTAAGTCGTATAATTAACGAGTTCAGCTGCGCCGCTACACACCAGGAGAGTTGGTCTTGAATAAGGTATTTCCAGCTGCCAAGAAACCGGCCGATGGAAAATTGGGTCCTAACTGGGATGGCCCATATCAGATTGATTTGATCGCAGGTGTAGGGGCATATCGGCTCAAAGACATGTCAGGAAGGAGTCTGCCATGGCCTTGGAATTCCACGTATTTACGCAAATTATATCATTGACCCGGCTTGTGGGACATGATGCTTGTTCTGAACGGTTTGCCATGTACATCTCCTTTTCTGTAATACAAAGATCCCTATTTACTCACTACAAATTGTAGTTCAACGGTGTTCCGAAAAAGCCTCCGAATCCGGAGCGCCCTTCGTGGATATCACGATTGGCCGAACAAAGTCTCCGGATTTAGAGCCCCATCGGCGCATGACGTTTTTGGGCCGAAAAAGCCTCTGAATTCGGAACGCCCTTCGTGGATATCACGATTGACCGAACAAAGTCTCCGGATTCGGAGCCCCATCGGTGCATGACGTCTTTGGGCCGAAAAAGCCTCCGGATTCAGAGCGCCCTTCGTGGATATCACGATTGGCCGAACAGTCTCCAGATTCGGATCCCCATCGACGCATGACGCCTTTGGGCCGAAAAAGCCTCCGAATTCGGAGCGCCCTTCGTGAATATCATGATTGGCCAGAAAGACTCCGAATTTGGAGCGCCCTTCGTGGATATCACGATTGGCCAAAAAAAGACTCCAGATTCGGAGTCCCATCGGCGCATGACGTCTTTGGGCCGAAAAAGCCTTCGAATTTAGAGCGCCCTTCGTAGATATCACGATTGGCCGAACAAAGTCTCCAGATTCAGAGCCCCATCGGCACATGACGTCTTTGGGCCAAAAAAGCCTCTGAATTCAGAGCGCCCTTCGTGGATATCACGATTAACCAAACAAAGTCTCCAAATTCGGAGCCCCATCAGCGCATGACGTCTTTAGGCCGAAAAAGCCTCCGGATTTGGAGCGCCCTTCGTGGATATCACGATTGGCCAGAAAGACTCCAAATTCGGAGCGCCCTTCGTGGATATCACGATTGGCCGAACAAAGTCTCCAGATTCGGAGCCCCATCGGTGCATGACGTCTTTGGGCCGAGTAAGCCTTCGGATTCGGAGCGCCCTTCGTGGATATCACGATTGGCCAGAAAGACTCCGGATTCGGAGCGCCCTTCGTGGATATCACGATTGGCCAGAAAAAGACTCCCGATTCGGAGCCCCATCAGCGCATGACGTCTTTGGGTTGAAAAAGCCTCTGGATTCGGAGCACCCTTCGTGGATATCACGATTGGCCAGAAAGACTCCGGATTCGGAGCGCCCTTCGTGGATATCACGATTGGCCATAAAAGACTCCAGATTCAGAGCCCCATCGGCGCATGACGTCTTTGGGCCGAGTAAGCCTCCAGATTCGGAGCGCCCTTTGTGGATATCACGATTGGCCAGAAAAACTTCAGATTTAGAGCCCCATCGGCGCATGACGTCTTTGGGCCGAGTAAGCCTCCGGATTCGGAGCGCCCTTCTTGGATATCATGATTGGCTAGAAAAGACCCCAGATTCGGAGCCCCATCGGCGCATGATGTCTTTGGGTCGAGTAAGCCTCCGGATTTGGAGCGCCCTTCGTGGATATCATGATTGGCCAGAAAAACTCCTGATTCGGAGCCCCATCGGCGCATGACGTCTTTGGGCCGAGTAAGCCTCTGGATTCGGAGCGCCCTTCGTGGATATCACGATTGGCCAGAAAGACTCCGTATTTGAAGCCCCATCAGTGCATGACATCTTTGGGCCGAGTAAGTCTCCGGATTTAGAGCGCCCTTCGTGGATATCACGATTGGCCAGAAAGACTCCGGATTCAGAGCCCCATCGACGCATGATGTCTTCGGGCCGATTAAGAATCCGAATTCGGAGTGCCCTTCGTGGATATCACGATTGGCCAAAAAAAGACTCCGGATTCGGAGCCCCATCGGTGCATGACATGTTTGGGCCGATTAAGAATCCTAATTCGGAGCGCCCTTCGTGGATGTTCGGGCCGTGTGTAACATAATGATGTCGATTAAATACTTAATAAATCAGGTCGATCAATGTCCATTCAATCATCTGAAATACGTTTATTCGAACATTTATACAATAAAACACATGCAAGCATGTGTGTGCCGAACAAAAATTATAATGAAATATTGAAAATAATTTTTTTTTTATTCGACCAACCAATAACTACATAATTTTAGACGCAATCCGCGTTTGAACATTACAACGAATATTTTTATGTGGCGTCTCCCTCATCGTCGCTCTTTTCTACTTCAAAGGCAGAAAAGTGCAAATAATCACGATGGTACAGCGGCAACGCCGAATCGATACCCTTCGCTCAGAGAGCCTTCGCGGCCTGAAGTGCCGCAATTCAACCGTGCTTAAAGCCCCGATTCTCACATCGGCAGACCTTATCTGTAAGTTTCTCTTTCGTTTTGTCGATCCCAACCTTTTGGCCAGTATGGAAGCCTTGCTCATAACCCTTGGCCCTCACATTTTCTACGGCAAACATGCTTGCCGTATCTCGGTCGGCAATGGCATGACTCATTAGCCGTTGGGTCACCATCTCCTCTACAATCGGGTTAGATTGACCCGTCGTATGCGGCTCAACGGTTTTAGCCTTCCTAAGCTCCCTAAGCTCATGCTCGACTTTCTCCGCACGAGCCTCCGAACTACGGATCCGTTCTTCCATTTTCTCCATCTCCCGCTGCGCGGCCCGCAGGCGCATGCCGACTTCATAGGCGGTGTACAGCCCCTTCACCGTCCCATGGATACCTTCTCGAAACACTTCGAAATCTTGTCATCCAACCATCGATTGTTGGACTTCCGGTGGAAAGATCTATCGAGCAAACTCGACTGCTACACCCGGATCATTAACGATGGAATCTGCCTCAGTCATCGGTTTATTCCCCACGAACACCGCAAAACTTAATGGTCGTGGCGTCGCGTCTGGCTCATTCCTCGGTCGTGGTCACGAAGAGCTTCCCATTGCTGCTTCTCTCTTCAGAGTGATTTGCTTCGACGGCTTGGAGGTTGACGTTTTTCCCTTTCCTTGGACGTCCTTCCTCCCGCGCGTGTAGGATTACTGCTGCGATTCATCGCAGTATCTAGCTCGACCAGCGTTCGTCCTTCTCCTTTGCTATTGAAAAATAGTTTGTTTGACATTCGCCCTCACCCCAAGCTAGTTCAAATTGAGCCTGAATAGAAATAAGTGGACTCACTGGCACGAACTCATCCCATTTATTCGTATGTATGCAGCGCCCCCAACGTGACGTCATTAATGCCAAACGCCAGAAGCCCGATGCCGATAGATGTATGCCGCAGCCATTCCACGAACTAGGTCTATTCGGCTAATGAAGCTCGTACTGGCTGGGGCAAGGGCAGATTGATTCATCTGATCGGCCAAATATTTAAGCCCAATACCGATAGATTTATGCCGCAGCCATTCCATGACCTAGGCCTATTCGGCTAACGAAGCTCGTGCACTGGCTGGGGCAAGGATAGATTGATTAATCTGATCGGCCAAATATTTAAGCCCGATGCCGATAGATTTATGCCGCAGCCATTACACGAACTAGGCCTATTTGGCTAACGAAGCTCGTACTGGCTGGGGTAAGGGCAGATTGATTAATCTGATTGGCCAAATATTTAAGCCCAATGCTGATAGATTTATGCCGCAGCCATTCCACGAACTAGGCCTATTCGGCTAACGAAGCTCGTGCATTGGATGGGGCAAGGGCAGATTGATTAATTTGATCGGCCAAGTATTTAAACCCGATGCCGATAGATTTATGCCGCAACCATTACACGAACTAGGCCTATTCGTCTAACGAAGCTCGTACTGGCTGGGGTAAGGGCAGATTGATTAATCTGATCGGCCAAATATTTAAGCCCAATGCCGATAGATTTATGCCGCAGCCATTCCACGAACTAGGCCTATTCGGCTAACGAAGCTCGTGCACTGGCTGGGGCAAGGGCAGATTGATTAATTTAATCGGCCAAGTATTTAAGCCCGATGGCGATAGATTTATGCCGCAGCCATTACACGAACTAGGCCTATTCGGCTAACGAAACTCATGCACTGGCTGGGGCAAGGGCAGATTTATTAATATGATCGGCCAAGTATTTAAGCCCGATGCCGATAGATTTATGCCGCAGCCATTCCACGAACTAGGTCCATTCGACTAACGAAGCTCGTGCACTGGCTGGGGCAAAGGCAGATTTATTAATCTGATCGGCCGAGTGTTGATGCCTAATGCCGATCGATACTTGGTATTAAAAACAAAGTGTAGCCATCTCGCAATCAACAGCAATATCATTCATCAATAACAAAAGCTAGCACAGGTAACAACAAGGCAAAAAAGGAAATTTTCATTAGGAAATTGGGCACAAATTGTAACCATTTTACACATGAAAATTACCAAACAAAAAGCTGTAAAAATACATTCGAAAACGCCTAAAATAGCAAGCAAAAAACAAAACAGCAAGCAAAAAAGGTGTGGCCCAAATTAATCCTCGGAGTCAGACTCCAGCGGCTCAATATCCACTTGCTCGTATGGAATTGGCATAGCCAATGTCACATCAGCAGCAGCAAGGGCTTTGAGCCAGCCGTGTTTGAATCCCTGATTTTCAAATTTGGAGACTTCATCTACATATTCGGCAAGGGCAGCACTTTTCTCGGCCTCTAATGCCTTAGAAGTGTTCGAGTCGGCCGCTTTCTTCGCCTTCTTTACTTCCTCCAACTCAGCCTCCAGTTTGGAGACCGCCTCCTGGGCCAATTTCAGCGCCCCCTCGCTCGCGTCCGCCCTCCTCTCGGTGGCTAATCTCAGTTCCTCCGTATTCCGTGCCCTTTCCATCTCGGCTTCGGCCTGTACGCCTTCCATCTTCGCCCTTAAAGCCTCAAACTCAGCCCTGCTTCTTTGGTCCTCAACTTCCGTTTGAAGACGGCCGAGCTGTTCGATGGCGTCATGATGGCGACGGCCCATCTCCTCTATCCTTCCGACGGTCTGCAAAATAGGAAGTTAAGACCAAAATAGTATTTGCACAAAGTGAAAAGACAAAGTCAAGATTTATACCAAAAATGACGATTGTGCGGCCAATGCTATTGAAACCAGATTCGGCTCTGCCCGGAAAGTCGCCTTGTCAACCGGCAGTGAAACGGATGTAGCCATGCTAAGCACGACCGCTGGATCTTTAATTACCGAAGCATTAGAAGGGATTAGCGTGTTTTTTTATCTTCGGTTGAATAACGAAAGGCACGATCACATCTGATTCCTCTAAACGAGGTCGTTTGTCGGTGCGGTTATCTTCTGAGCCGGCCTCAACCTCGGCAGAGTGCTTCCCTGCCCTTAGTTCAGCCACTCGATCGGCCTGCACAACTAACTCGGCCTCGGCACTTCAGTTTTCTATCATCCCCTCCTCAATAACAGGCAAGGAGGGCTGAGATTCACTAACAAGCAAGAAGGGCTGAGTTTCGGTAGCAGGAGGCATTCCGGTTCGAATAGCCTCTGCCCTTCGTTGTGTTGTCATTCTTTCCGCGTTCGCCTTTTTGGCAAGTTGTGTGAGGCTTAACCCAGCTATATCTTCGGGGTAAGCACTGGGAAGGTCCTCCAGACCATGAAAAATGTCATTGAGTGGAAGATCCTCTCGGCCCAAAGTGGACGGAGGGTCGACTGAGTTGAGGCCGGCTTCTTCAAAGGCTAACTGTAAAGCCTCGTCGACTTCAGTTTCGGACTGATCGAACTCGGCAACCTCAGCTACTTTTGGTCGTTCCGAATTAGACCCCTCAAGACCGACTTGCCTCAAATTCTTGAAATCGGTCAGGATAAGGGCGGTAAGAAACTCCTCTCCCTTCGGAACTAGGATGTTCTCTGCCCCCGAGAAAGTCGTATAGGTCGGGTCGTAGCGGAGAAGAGCGTGGGCTGCCCTCCCCTCTTTTTGAAGACTCGGCCAGCCGAAATATCTGAGTGCAACCTTGATTTCCGAAAGAACGACGTTGTTGGTTGAAGTCAGGACTTTCTTCAAATTGTTCCCTGCACAAGCAAAGCCATAAGGTCTCGAAAAGGAAGCTTTATGAATATAACAAAAAATAAATAAAAGAAGCTACACGGCCACTTGGTTCGCCCTTCTGTCTAGGAATAGAATTGAGGCGATCCTCGCCTTTGTCGAATTCCCAATTACCTTGGACAACGACCATAACATCATCGACTCGCTTCCCAGAGCTGGAAAGCATAGTCACTAGTTGATGGTCAGTGTCCTTGGCCCTAAGGAAGTAATGCCCATGCCGACCAGAAGACTTGGCCAAGGTATAACAATGCCGAATAGCAGGTATGCCGAGGTTAATCCTAAGGCGACGGTTTAGTGTGATAATCCCCATTACGATTCTAAAAAAATTAACATTGGGTTGGGAAGGGATTAAACCCCAATGGTAAAGCATAGCCCTAAGGAGTGGATGAAGTGGGAATCGAACTCCATCCTCTGCGATTGATAGGAGAGGAAAGACGATTGTGGATTCATCAGCCCTCTCCATATCAAGGGTGCCGTCTGTCACGAATGACAGACGGACGTCATCAGGGATGGAAAAATGGCGTCGGAAGCCAAAAATTCGATCCGAAGAGAGGAGATCTTTCAGGTGTTTCACTATTTCCTACAGTCTACCCGAATGCTTGAAACCAAAAACAAACCAGGCAACAGAACTTAGAACAGAGAGGGAAAGAACTTACGAGAGACGAAGAGGATAGTGAAGGAAAGGAAGTTGCAGAGATAACGCGGAAGACAGTCCAGCGGCAATTATCTGAAAGCGTGCGTATTTGAAAAGACGTCAAAATTTTAATTCATAATAAGTAAGAGAGTACGAAGGGGCGGGAAGTTGAAATGATGACCGAGAAGCGTGCATTCAAACATCTGCATTGGAATGGGGTCAGCCATCAAATTTCAGCTCTGACTTTTCGAGTTCGAAACCAAACATTCCAACCAACTTTCATAAGTGGAATGTTTGAGGGGCAATTGTGGGGGCCGAATAATGGGGGTCGTAAATAGGCCGAGTATATGAACTTGGGGAACTGGAATGTATGTATAGCATTTGGTTTCATCCCACATCCAAATCCTACCCTATTGTCAAATAGCCGAATAGGGCAGGGGCCGAGTAAAAAGCAATTTGCTACAAAGGAAGCTGAAAACGAACAGAAAGTAGGCCTAATCCCGAGGCCTAAGAGAGAAAGGATATAAATAGAAGAATATCAGCCAGTAAGAGGTATGTTAGAACTATTGTGCTTAGTTTAGAATATGAGTAAACTTGAGTGTAAAGACAGACTTTCCCGTCGAAGTGCTAATTCCGGCGCCTCCGACCGGAGTGTTTATCCCTTTTCAGGTGACTAGAAGAGGATCACTAGCGTCTCCCAAGATCAGAAGAGTATTTCCAAAACCACTTCTCCATAGCATGTATGGGCTCTATTTCAGCATGTTTTTGGTCATTATTTAGCATGTCATGACTCTATCTAAAGTTGGTTTGATGGCCTCTTGCATGCTTCATGCACTTGTAGTGCATTTCCATTCATTAGCCTAATGTGTATCATGCTTTTGATCATCATTCTAGTATGCTTTTGGCTTGACTCTAAGAAGATTTTGTTCATGTTTTAGCATGCTCTAGGTCTGATTTATGTTGTTTTGGTCATGCATGCATTCCTCTATATAGCTATGGTTCAATCTAGCTCATTAGCTTTGTGTATTAAGTCTATTAGCATGCATTACTTGGACTAGTTTCATGATTTGGTATCATTTAAAATGAGATTTCAGTACATATAGTGTGGCCATACACTTGCATTTGTCACTCATTCAATGCGTTGGATTTCCATGCTTTGGAAGGTTGGTGTTTTATGCCTCAAACATGAGCCTATATGCATGCCCTTTTGCCTAAGCTTTTGGACTACCATATCAGTGTGTTTTTGGTGTTATTTTGACATGTCATAACTCTGATTTTAGTTGGTGAAATCATATCGTGCTTGGTTTTGATAGGTATAGTGCAATCATCCTTATTGGCCTTGTATGCGTCATGTTTTGTGCTCACCTTTCTAACATGTTTTGGCCTCATTTCCTGCATGTTCTAGCCTTCTTTTGGTCTGCCTTGGGACTGTTTTAAGTCACCTTGGCCCTTTGGGGCTTGCTTGTTATGGCTGTAGTATAAGTCCCTTGGCTAGCTTTAAGCTTTGAGTCCATTAGCATGCTATGTTTATCATATATGCATGATTTGGCATCATTCCTTGCATGATTTCAGAGCCTATTTCACTGCCATACTCTCACATTTTGTACTTCTTCCATGTTCTTGAGAGTTGGTGCCTTCATGCTTGGTTTGTGAACCAATTGACTAGCACGCTTGCATATACTTTTGGACCATCATTTCAGCACCCTTGGCCACTGTTTTTAGCACGACTAAGGTCTATCTATTTTCAGTATAAGTCCATAGATCATGCGGTTTGTGTGTTATTGCATGCTTATCGCATTGCGTGTTGTTATATACTTGTTGTTGATATTGTTGTTGCATGCCTATCACATTGTATGTTTGCATGTTTAAGTTGCATTGCATTTTGCGTGCTTGGCACATTACATGTTTGCATGTTTAGGTAGCATTGCATTTGACATGATTGTTACCTTAGCCTTGTGTGCATGCTTGAGTCATATTGCATTTGGCATGCTTATATTGCATTGTATCGCATCCCCATGTTGCATGCATTGCATTATGTTTGGTTTGGGTGTTAAACCAAACACGAGGAACGAGGGACGTTTCATACTTGGAGTGATGAAACGTGCCTCAATTCTTGGTCACCGACACTCTTGATCCAATATGATAGAGTGTGAGGCATTCATGTGTTGTTGTGCATTCATTCTATATTGATTTGTGCAACTCGGCCTCTTTGGCCATCATGCATTAAAATGCGTGATTGATGGCTCGAGGGTCGAACACTACACTCATTTGAGTCTCAAACATGATAAGGGGTATAGGTGCACAACATTTTCTTGCAAATGTATTGTCATGCCCTTGTTTGTCCTCTGCTGCAGCAAAAGGAGCAGTCTGCAGGAAGAGATGGCCGATTGGCTATCTTCAATGCCGATCGGCTAACAATCTTTGGCCGATAGACTCATAATTGGTCGATGACCATTTTCCCTTGGCTGGTGGCCCTATCTTTTGGTTGATGACCTCTCAGCATGTCCATGAAGTGGTTCAGAAGCATCACAGAGGTTTTCACAGTTTTCAGAGGTGCAGAATAAGGCAAACAGAGGCAACATGAGGCATGGCAACGGATTTCCAAGCGAAGCTGACCGAGCATGCATTTGTCCCTCTTCTCGAGGCCGCTTTTAACTGTTTTGTAACTTAATTAATTTGCTTAATTAGTTAAGAGTTTTGTAATAATTAATTAGCTAGGGTAGTTAATTAATTAGTTGATTTATATTATTTATTTGGACCCTCCGTCGAAAAGGCGAATTTTGTAATAAGTGTGCGTGAGTGTGTGAATCTCTTCCAACCCCACGTCTTTCTCCCTCTTACTTAACCGCTTACGATAGTTAGTTCTAGGTCATGTTTTGATTAGCATTCCTATACTTGCATGTTTGCATCCATTCATCAGTCTTGCATACACTGGGTTCGGCGCATCATACTAACTGCATTGTATTTCAATTCTTACTTGAATACGTGTTCAACAACATGTTATCAAGTTGCATCTCATATGCCATCATAGAATAGCCGAGCCTATTTCTAGTTGTATTTTGCATGTGTTGCATTAGCCATCTTAACATAGCTAGAATCATGCATTGATTACTAACTAGCTTTTGTTTTGGCTCGGAGTACACTGTAAGTGTTTTCGCTTTAGCATACTGCATAAGTGTGAGTGTTGCCATGATAGCATGCTTGCCATGAGGCTAACTGCTTAATTGATTAACTGCCTGAATGCCCGTGGGTGAAGGTTGGGTTGCTTGAATTGGAACAATTCATCAAATGCGAGTTTTAAGCCCACTTCAGAGTGGCAAAATCATGTTTTCTTAAGCCCACTAGAGGGTGGAAAAATCACGTCTTAGCCTACTTGCGAGTAGCACCTTCAAACCAGTTTTAAACAAACAAACATTAGATGTTTTGTTCCAACTTGGACGATCTAGTCTATACTTGTGTGTTGTGCGCATCACATAGTAATTCTAGCTAATAACCGGAATAAGAACGCATGTGTTTTCAAAAACAAGATATCATGCTTAGTACAGGCCGATCTTTGATCGGGCGAGCGGGGGTGCTCATTGCATGACCTTCCCCTCTCGTACCCAAGTTCCCGAGCCGAGGCAACTTTGGTGATGACGGACACGTGGCCTTAGTCACGAGTCAGGGTTTCTTAAATTTTTCCAAAAACAAAAACATTTAGGTGGCGACTCTGTATCTGGCAAAGCAGTCCATGTTTGGCACTTCTTTATTAAAATCAGTTTTTCAAAACGATTTGCCAGATTTGGACTCTTTGGTGATTTATCTACCTTGCATTGCACTTTGCGAGATTAGATTCAGAATCGTGACATTGAGTCTGAATTGTAGTATGCTAAAGAACAAAATGGGATTTTCTCGGGACGTTCGGGCACGTCTACAGCATGGAAGACCCTCTGACCTCGGGGTTGGTACTTCGAGGTTTGTGGAGTTTTGCTGGATGCATCAACAAAGGGATTGATATACACTGACTGGGTTTGCTGATCTCTTCCGAGCACAGAATTAGAGCTGAAAGGAACGTTTCTGGTACAACGGCCCTTCTCTCGACTTGCCCCTTGATTCAAACTGCTTTCATTCTGAGTGACGAAAGTGTCATCCACAGTCTTTGCAACAACTGCGAGAACTTACTATTTGTTCAGCCCTTCCGCTTTCAAAGCCTCCACAGATCACAGAAGGTGTTCATGGGGATCAATGCCTGCCCCTACCTTGTTCTTACCACTTGCCTCAGCTTGGCCAAAGGATTGGGTTACTATATCAGAGCGAAGCCCAGTTGTTGTCGACACGCTAACACCCAGATCT